AATTGTGAAAATCATGAAAAAATTCACACTGGGGAGAAACGCTATGTATGTAGGCAATGTGGCAGAGCTTTTGGCACAAAATTTAATTGTGAAAATCATGAAAAAATTCACACTGGGGAGAAACCCTATGTATGTGATCAATGTGGGAAAGCTTTCAGCAGACACAGTCATTTTCAAATACACATAAGAATTCATACTGGGGAGAAACCCTATGTATGTAAGCAATGTGAGAAAGGATTTAGTACACACAGTCATTGTAAGAGACATGAAAGGACTCACACTGGGGAGAAACCCTATGTATGTCAGCATTGTGGGAAAGCTTTCAGCACACAATTTAATTGTCAAAATCATGAAAGAATTCACACCGGAGAGAAACCCCATGTCTGTAAGCAATGTGGGAAAGCATTTATTACACACAGTCATTGTAAAATACATGAAAGAACTCACACTGGGGAGAAGCCCTATATATGTAAGCATTGTGGGAAAGCTTTTATCACACATGGTAGTTGTCAAATACATGAAAGAATTCACACTGGGGAGAACCCCTATGTATGTAAGCAATGTGGGAAAACTTTTGGCACATATAGTCACTGCAAAAGACATGAAAAAATCCACACTGGTGAGAAACCCTATGTGTGTCAGCAATGTGGGAAAGCTTTCAGCAGACACAGTCATTTTCAAATACATATAAGAACTCACACTGGGGAGAAACCCTACATATGTAAGCAATGTGGGAAAGCATTTATTACACACAGTCATTGTAAAATACATGAGAGAACTCACACTGGGGAGAAACCCTATGTATGTAAGTATTGTGGGAAAGCTTTCAGTGCACAAGGTAATTGTCACAACCATGAAAAAATTCACACCGGGGAGAGACCTTATGTATGTGATCAATGTGGGAAAGCTTTCAGCAGACTCAGTCATTGTAAAATACATGAAAGAACTCACACTGGGGAGAAACCCTATGTATGTAAACAATGCAAGAAAGGATTCATCTCCAAAGATAGTTGTAAAAGGCATGAAATGACTCACACTGGGAAGAAAACCTATGCATCTTATTTGGGATAGCTTTCCCCACCCAAAGTAGTCATCAGAATCTTGAAAGAACTCACATTGCTGCGAGATTGTATGTATGTAAGTGACATGGGAAAGTGTTCAGCATATAAAAGTTAGGAAATGCCTGAAAAACTACACTGGGGAGAAATTCTATTTACATAAGCAATATTGGAATGCATTCTTTTTCTTCATGATCTACATTTTATACTTTTAATTTTTCAAATTTTTACATGTATTTACCTGAAATACAACATTTATAAAATGAAACAGCTACTGTAACAAAAGCAACATTATTAGGAAAGCACTTTACTTTTTAGTGGTTGCAGTGGAGCCAGTTTTCCTCATTAAGTGCCTTCAGGATTCAGACACACTTATGATTCTTTTTTTTTTT